ATTAGAAGTAAAGGAAATTACAATTTTCTTTTAAATGATTTAGTGAAAAATTAATATTGGCCATTTAATTCTAGGTAAAAGAGTCAATATTAGATCAAAGGCTGAACTAATCGTGTAAACGATGTTCTGAGTAATCTGCTTGTTGATGGGAGTTACGAGTGCGTCAACAATGTAGTGGTCACAATATGTTGACCGGCGGGGTTACGGCGACCGACACAACGGCGTTGATTGGAATATCGATTCTACCAGCCTCACTATCTACAAACCATGTTTGTTTTCTATTACATAGATGAATTAACTATTAAATTTTACTATAACGAATAATATGTTAATTTAAATAGGTTATACTTATTTTGTTGCAAAGCAAATTCATATTTGTCAGTACAATTAGCAATTGTATCAGGTTCAGGGTGATTTGTGTGATATGTCGTCATTAGTGTTTGTAAGCGCACCAATACGTACTAAGGAAATATTTAATAGTATTAGCCATGACATAAGAATAAAGTAAACACGAACGTTTTGTTCGTATTATCAACGGCAAGGGTCTTGGGTTCGATTCCCGGGTCGGGCAAAGTATTAATGGGTTTTAAAATAAAAATCTCAGCAGTAGCACGGAGTCTGCAAATGTGCCCGGTTTATGGCAATAGGCTCACCCGCTATGACATGGGACTCATAATATAAATAGTGTAAAGTGGGTGTTACCTCCTGCACCTCTGCCTACCCCTTCAAAGATAAAAGGCGTGATGTTATGTTATGTTTGTATTATTCAATTCAATTTTTAAGATAAAGTCAGTCAATTAGTTAGTCTTTATGTTGTTTTGAGTTATAGAACTGTGCATTAAATACGTTTACTTTACTATCCAGGCTGCCCACTAGGTCGAATAGTCGTAAAAAAAACGGATACGAAGTCAACTGAGATTTTTAGTAATAGTACAAAATCAGGATTTCAGTTCAGTTTTCAGTTCTGTAACATAAAAGTAGAAGTAGCGAACCCGGCAGAGAAATTGTGTGATTCTTTTGTCTTGTCAGAATACAGTTTTTTGGGTAGGCAAGTATTGAGTTCGTTGTGAATAAGATAAACGTAGGTACTAGGCAGGTTACGTAAAACAGATTCTCGAACTTATTGTGAACTATTACGTGTGGGCAACCTAAATGGATATTGCGAAGAGTTTACATCGACGTCGCCATCGGTCGGAATGGAATCACTTGACATGTGGCTTGTTCACATCTGTTCCAGTCTTTTGTTTTTATTTTCATCACAATTTATGCAAAACATTTGATATATTTGGGTTCAAACGATACGCCCAGAGGCATTTGTATGTAAACCAGGATAACATCTGTTGTGACTTTCCGTTGACCTTACTTACCCTTTTGATTTGTAAATAAAGCATTTGTATTAGTTCCGTGACTTTATACAGATGAATGTTTCATTTTAGAATTTTATTCGGATTACTTGTTATTCGTGAGTTGTATAAATTGTCATCGAGTACCATGATATTGAGAACAATCTTCACATGCAATTTCTTGATCCAGTTTTATTTAAAGTACAATAACGTAACACTTTAGTGTTCTTGTTGCTCGTTTAAATTAATGTCAAAATGTATTCTGCGTGCTTATACGAGAAGGTGCAACTTTGAAACAACGAAGCTTAGCAAAGTAATCTGCAGTTAACGATACTCAAGCATAATGTGAACACGTGATTATTTGCATGTTACATACTTATTTACTTAAGTAAAAGCAACTTTATTCTCTTAACTATAAGGTTTTAAAATGAGTTTGATGTATGTAGGTGGGTTCGCCATCTGATTTGGTCGTGTCAATAGATGATCGATGACTCTAGGAAAACATTGTGTCCTAAAATTGGTGCGTTCAATACGATGCGTGTTAGGATAGATTTAGTATTTTCAAATTCCTAACCCTAAGAAATAATCTGGGAATCTCGTACGAATGTTTTACTTAACCTTAATTTATCTATCATTATTTTACGACAAACATAGTTTAATTTACGAAAATGTTCTTAGAATTCAAACATATTCAAAGACCACCATATTGTAAGAAAGCTCATACTAGCATTACTAGTCTTTATCAGTTCTTTAAACAGCTCGTAGAGTATTCAGATCGAAATCGAATCGACATGGAAGCGCACAAAGTCGACCAATCGTGTAACACGGTTCGCCGACGCTATCGAGATTGGAGACGACATTTTCAACGAATTTCTACATTCGACCAAGTCTATCCGAAATCTTGAAAGAAGTGGTATATGGTGTATAATACGGTTCCAAAATAATAGGTATATTTCGTAAAACTTGTAAAGTAGATGATCTTGTGTTAAATTACCTCTAGTAATAATAAGTAAAACAGATGATCTTGTCATCGATTACCTCTAGTAATCGAAGACAAGATCATCGATTACCTCTAGTAAGACAAGATGTCGCGGAGAACCTAACGGGTAACCGGGGCTCCGGCTCGACGTGAGGGAGAAGGAACGGGGTGGTTTTTAGTCAGTAAGAGTCTGACACTTCCGTTCCGCCTCACCCAGGCGGGAGCAGTCATTCAATGATTTTCCCCACTTAAAAAAAAAAGTAAGACAAGATCATCGCTTACCTCTAGTAATCGAAGACAAGAGCATCTACTTTCCTCCTCTACCTTTTCCTATGATAGTCGACTATATATGAATAGTGTTCATTGCTTAGTAAGTATTACCGCTAAGTTAGAGTTATGCCTGAATCAAAGGATTGAACCTAAAACCTCAGGCTTTAGGACGTTTGTTACTTCTCAACTAAGGTTCATCGTTACGTTTTATTCCGTAAAATAAACCTCATCTTAAATTTCCTTTTTTCTTACAAAACTCAAGTTCATCTTGAGTTTAAAACAATCCTTAATCCAGGATTACAGGGATTATGTTTCTTTCTTAAATTGCAGGTAAATTGTAAGTCTTTTGTCAATGGAAGCTCTGTTTCTAATAAAACCAAAATTTTTGTTATACAACCTATGTTTACATAACATCACGCCTTTTATCCCCGATGGGTAGGTAGAGGTGCACATTACGGCACTTAACGCTACTGTGCAATGTTTTCACTATTTATGTTATGAGTCCCATGTAAGGTTTACATGTTACAAAGATTAGATTTCGGCTGAAAGAGAACTTGTTGTTGTTTTTATACATTATACATCGTGTTAAAAAATATTATTAACGAAGAATCTGTTTTTACTTCAAATAAAACATTCTAGTATTGTACGAATAAAAAAACAGAAGTAAAAATACCACTGAAGTAATTGTACCTACCGTTATAATCATGAAAATAACATTATTCTTTGTTATTGTCAGAAACTTTTTTGTATGGTATCCTTTGTAAGAATGAGAACGTGAAGTCGAAATCTAGTAAAAATCAGTTACAAATGGTTTGAAAACATAAATATTATGTATAAATCATAAAATAGAAATCTTTAAGAAATACAATTCTAGAAGATTGATACCGTTAGTAATCTAAAATGTTTCCTTAGTTGGTCAATGTTGTCCGAATAAATAAATAAAGATTAACTGTTTACCTGACATATTTTTAACTAAACATGTGCCACAAGTACCTAATTATGAAACAGTAGTTTGAAAAGATAATTCCGTAGGAATACCATCCTAATACCTAACTAGAGTTTCACCCTGTAGGAGTCAATTTTAGGCTTAGCGCGAAAGCGGTTAGGCGGTTAGCAACAAACCCCGTCCAATCTCGCAAGTTTACGATACGAACCCAATCTGCTGGTGCCTGAATGACTTTCGGTTCCCCTAAAATAGTGTGACACTTTCCTAATTATTGACTGGTATATCTAGATTCTAGATAGAGTTTGTGTCTGCTCCAATTGGTATACTTGATTTTTGTGTGCTTTTAGTATAGGAGTTTTAGGTACTATAGTACATTCCCGGCCAAGCCCCACCCCTTAAACTGATTTTAAACTTTTAAGTGGATAATAAATTCATTGAACTTAATGTTTGAAAATATAATTTATTTGAATTTCACACCGAGCAGCAATTCGAGTTTGACATGTTATCAAAATAAACCATTTAAATGCCTAATTACTTAATAATTTTTTTGGTCAAACACGCAACTTTCGAAAACTGCTCTTGTCTACCTCTCTTGGAACGACGAGGTGTTATGAAAAGTCTAAATAATCGGACAATGACATCCTGATTTAATATGTATGAGATAGATGTCGGTCGTTTTGACTTTAGTAACATTTTTTTTTAAATAATGTCATTCATGTTAATCCTGAGCTTAGTTATGAAGTAAAAGTTTGAGCTAAATCCAACTTATAACAACTTTTATTAACCTAAATCTATTTAGTAGACAAACATTCATACCGACAAATTTAAGTTGGGACAAAACTAACCGAGTACCTAGTATTGTAGATAAGTATTCCGAAGTTAACTAGTTTGGTGGTGCCATCTAGTATCTAACGTTGGAAATAACGGTGGACTGAACAACAAGTTTCAGGAAAATTGTTGGGAGGACTACCTCAGCTTTCGAAACGTGGAGGGCGAGGAAAATTCCTCATAGTTTTTAATTCTGCCGCAAGATGTCACTATAAGTTAAATATAAATTCTATTTATTCAGCCTGCCATGCCGCCGCGTTTGAAAGTTTACTAAGAATATTTTATTACTTTGAATACTTTTCATTGAAATAACATCTTATTTTAACGGACTGTTAGTGGCAGTTGTAACAAACATTTATTGAAAAAAATGTTGTAACAAATGTTTCCTTTCCTTTGTTTATTACTAACAGATTATATATAATACGTTGCACGTTTAAACCAAGAGCGATTCTAATTTTAGCGGTGCAGTTACATATTGCAGCCATAGCATTCGTAACAATTATAGTTAGGGCATTCAGTCTCGCATACATTTAGGTCAACGAGTATAGTTTCTTGAGAACATTCATGAACATGAATATATTCTAGACCAATATGAATTAGTTAATAAAGATTTTCTGTGGGTTTAAGCCTAATTATGCAAACGTCAAAGTTATTGTTAAAATGTTTCACAACAACATTTTGTTTACTTCATGTTTGTGGAGACAAGACTATTGGTAAGCTTTGTAACTTATTTATAACTTCGCTCCAGCTGAATTAATGCTATCCCAGACGCTTTATTCTGTAAGTGGTTTCAAATTCTGTTGTCAACACTTAAAATAAACGTTTATTTTATTGTTGTAGGTGCAATTTTCGATGATGGTACATTTTTATTAGAAGCCGCGTTCAACATCGCACTTACGGCGGCATCCGAAGACCAAGAAAATCCATTTGTACCGAGTGTCACACGAACGCCTCCAGGAGATATATTAGAAACGGAGAAAGCGATGTGCAAGCTCTTAGAGGTAACATTCATATTTCAAAAGATGTTTATGAACTAAATAATATTGCATTGTGAAATGCTATTTTATTTACAGAGTAATGTATTTGGTGTCTTCGGTCCAACGAGAAAAGGTTCTCTACAACACATTCAGACGATTGCTGATTTTCTGGAGATACCTCACATTATAGTAGATCCAATGGAAACTCAGAATCGGAATTGGTCTGTTGTAAATTTGTTTCCCCACCACTTGGCTTATTCACAGGTACACATTTTGTGAATTAGTTATTAATCTGCGACACAATTAACTTTAACGAGTAGGTAATTTATTTTTGACAGATCTTTGCCGATCTTATAGAACTAAAAGGATGGACAGATTTCACAATAATTTATGAAGGTGCTGAACTTTTACCATTTTTCGATAATATCTTACAAATGCAAGATTTAGATACGGGTGAAAAAATTCTAATTAATATTGTCCAATTGCCTGAAGGCGATGATTTCAGGTAAGTCTTAATTAAAAGTTTCATTAAATTCTTTGTTAAGATTCTCGTGGTTAAATACTTCGTATTTTGTTACAAACCTTAGGACTCAATTGAAATTTATAAAAAAGTCAGGGTCAGTGAACTACGTTATAAATTGTGCTAGAGATAAATTGCCGTTAGTACTAGAGCAAGCACAGCAAGTTGGCATAATGTCTGATGACCATAGCTACCTGATAATGAACCCAGACTTCCAGACGATTGACATAGACCCATACAAACATGGAGGGTCAAGTATTACAGGTAATACCAAAAATGAAGTATTTATCTTAATAATTTTACAATTTTGAGATGGCTAAGACATGTTGACATGTTTCAATAATGACCTTGTTTTTCATGTCCAGGGATACGTATTTTCGATCCAACGTTAGACTCCATTCAGAACTTTATCAAGTCTTTAAATGAGAAAGTAGCTGAATTGTCTGAAAACAATATAGAAAACGCGATAGCAGAAAATGGTTTGACTGTAGATTTAGCTTTGGTATACGATGCTGTAACTTTATTTGTTTCAACTTTAAATGCTATGAAATTAGAAGAGGGTTCGAATGTCACTTGTGACGGAGGTGAAAGCTGGGGTTATGGCTCTAGTATTGTGAACTTTGCGAGAACAGTGAGTACTAATCTAACTTTCTACATATTTCGTAAATATTTTGAGATACTAATATTACATGCACTGTAATTTCAGATGGAAGTTGATGGGTTAACGGGAATGATAAAATTTGATGAAGATGGTTTCCGTTCAGATGTTGAAGTAGATGTACTTGAAGTCATGAGCTATGGTTTAGATAAGGTATAAAAGTGTAATAAATACTTTCACAGTTATCTGATTAACAAGATATAAATAGTCGATTTAGTTTATTACTAAAGATCTTACAATAATTCTGTAAGTTAATTTAAATTATTCTAATATCTACAGGTAGGAACATGGTCATTAGAAGATGGATTTACTGAAGTAAAAAGAGACGTAACACCAGCTGAACAAGAAGGCTCCGAATCTATGAAGGGCAAACATTTTATCGTACTAACGGCACTGGTAATTGAACTGTCTTAATAAAAGTATTTGGTACCTTATGAAACAACATTTAAAGTTCCTATTTCTTATTTAGAGTGCACCATATGGAATGCTCAAAGAATCTTCAAAAAAACTAGAAGGCAATGATCGATATGAAGGCTTCGGTATAGAACTTTTTGAAGAACTAGCAAAGATAAATGAATTCAATTATACATTCGATATACAAGAGGATGGTGTTTACGGCTCATACAATTCAAAAACTGGCAAATGGAATGGCATGATGGAGAAAATTATGGATGGAGTAACTATCATTTGGCTTATTTTGGATCATTTTCATGAAATTTGTCACAACTTCTTATCTGGTATTGAACAGTTGAATATCCGATCTAAGTAATTAATGCTTTATTGACCAGTGTTGTCAAAACCTTTACATGTTACAGAGAGCAGATTTCGCAATCACCGACTTGACTATAACAGCAGCTCGTCAAAAAGCGGTTGATTTCACCAGTCCATTTATGAATTTAGGTATAACAATATTGTATAAGAAACCTACAAAGGAACCACCAGATCTCTTTTCTTTTATATCACCATTTTCTATGGGTGTAAGTCGTTCACATACATTTGTTAATGTTTAACCTTTCAGAGTCTCCAAATACTTAAATTTTGCCATTTCAGGTTTGGGGATGGCTTGCAGGAGCATTTGTTGGAGTATCAGTGCTTTTATTCGCCTTAGGACGATTAGCACCAGAAGAATGGCAAAATCCATATCCGTGTATCGAAGAACCAGAAACTTTGGACAATCAGTTCACTTTAGCTAACTCATTTTGGTTTACATTGGGCAGTGTGTTAACTCAAGGATCAGAAATTGCACCAATGTATGTAACAAAACATTTCTTATCCATTTTAAAGATATTTCAATGAACTTATGATTTCTTGGTGAATTTTGCAGAGCAGTGTCAACTCGAATGGCTGGAAGTATGTGGTGGTTCTTCACTTTGATCATGGTATCATCTTACACAGCCAACTTGGCTGCCTTTCTCACTGTCGAATCTAAGTTTTATGCGATCAAGAGTGTAACTGATCTAGCAAATAATCCTTATGGAATAACTTATGGAGCCAAGAAAGGAGGTGCTACCTTCAGTTTCTTTAAGGTAATTGAAATGTTTAATGAATAAATAAGTAACAAACTGAGTATACATGAAATATTTGGTTTTCAATTTATTATAATAGCAATCTATTTTAATTTTATTCTATGTTTAGGAATCGGATAATTTACTGTATCAGAAAATGTATCAATATATGGAAGACCATCCCGAATATCAAACAGCTACCAATGATGAAGGATTAGAGAGGTAATATTCAATTTTAAAAGAAATAATTATTTTTGAGACGAGGAGATATGCAGTTAAATTTTGATGTTCCTATTTTTAGTCTATGTGAATAAACATTTTTTTGTGATCTGATTATTTTTAGAGTAAAATCGGACACTGAAAACTATGCTTTCTTAATGGAATCGACATCAATTGAGTACATGGTCGAAAGAAACTGCGATGTCGCTCAAGTAGGCGGTCTTCTGGACAGTAAGGGGTATGGCATTGCTATGAAAAAAAGTAAGCACGACCTGCATTGCAATTTGAAACATATTTAAATGTATATAGATCGCTTTATTCATTTCAAATAATTGTGTGGTTACAATCAAACGATATACATCAGACACCTGAGCCTTAAACAAATGAACATCGTTTTTCGTACAGATTCACCTTATCGCCAACCTATGAGCGAATCTATATTGCAACTGCAAGAGGAGGGAAAATTAACGAGAATGAAAGACAAATGGTGGAAAGAAAAGAGAGGAGGTGGTGCTTGTGCGGTACGTGGTAACTCTAACTTTAATTAACATACATATTTATTTAATTCTTATTCAATACAGTCTAAATTTCCATGATATTGCGAAACTAATTCAGAAATATAATAAATTACTTTTTAGATTTTGATTACTAAGTAATCAAAATCTAAAAAACATATTAAGTAATAAACAAGTTAAAGCTTTTGACATGAAAGACGAGCGTAATCTTTGCGAATCCTTTGAACCATTAACCAAGTATCGATTAGGATGACGACGCGGGCGGCGGTGAGGCTCAACCCTTGGTGTTGGCGAACGTGGGCGGCGTGTTCATTGTGCTCGCCGTCGGCTCCTGCATGGCTGTCATCTGTGCCTTTGTTGAGATGGTGTTCGACGTATGGATGATATCTCACAAGATGAAGGTACTACGTGTCATTAATATACATTACTTTCAACTATACGATGTGACGTTACGTGCCTCGGCTTGCGCTTTACCCACAAGTCACGAAAATAAATAGCAATCAGTTCAAGGAAAAACCTAAACCCCTTTGTACACGACTTTGTATTGTAAGCGTATCGTTATAAGTAACTTTCGAACATTGTAATTTGTATTGTTCTCGTCCTACACGTGTATTAGTACGATACGCCTACGATGCGTTTTGTGTGAATGAACTAAATCAGTTAAGATTTATCTTTGCTGTTTTTCGAACCCATCTTTGATTACAATCATTGTGTAAATAATGTGTTTCTGATATTGAAATTGTGTTTTTTCCGTTTACCAGAATTGCATGTTCCAGTGTGACCCCTCATCAATATTATATAGTCGCTTCGTGTTATTCGCCATAGATTTTACTATTTCCATTCGTAAGTATAGTACCTACCTACCTGATGCCTATAATATAAACCTACAATCCGACCTTCTGTGATCTAGTAAACTTTCTTACCTTTACTAAACCGAATTATTTATACTAATATGCCCAAAGAAGTCTTTCGTATAGTAAGGTTGTTAATAATTACAGGTTTCATTCAGAGAAGAATTGAAAGCTGAACTGAAGTTTATTTTGAGCTTTAGCGGCGACACTAAACCGGTTCGTCACCGAGAATCCACAGGCAGTGGGTCAGGTGGGTCTAAGAAAACTGAAGAGAAGGCTGATGGAGATCCAGAAACTCCGGGTAGCGAAGGTTTACCAGATCCATCTCCAACACCACGCTCGGAGAGATCAGGACATTCTCGGCACACACTTCATAGTAGGCGACAAAGTAATGCCGTTCAGATGGCTAAAATGAGGAAATATAGTATACGAAGTGGAATAAATTAGTCATAGATTTTTCTGTCGATATGTTCTAAAATATAGGTATTTGACAAAGCTTTCCATCAACTAATGAATATCCTGGAACAAAACATCAAACGTGTAGCTAGATTCAATGAAATAGCAGACTAATTAGTATGCGCCCAACTCAAATTTTGTCAATAATTACAACGTTCATTCATAATGACAACGCTATTCAACCGTGAATAGCAAATACCTAAATTAATGACAAAGTATTTGTAGTTAAAGGTAACATTAATTCAATTGTTTTGCCCAGTGTCACCATTTGCGTTATCTGTTAATACAATTGCAGATTGCGTTTAAGTACTAACCTGTACAAATAAATATCTAAGTATAAGCTGAAATATTTGTTTCATTTTCCAATTGCTTTATAACTTATTGTCTTGTCCTTCCTTTGTATTGATAACCCACTCACAGATATAGGATCCGTTTCGAAAGTATTATTTCTTAATTATTTTCTATCACTAGTCTTTCTCCAGGAACGAGTTCATGTTACGTCAAGTTGTTAATTAGCACATGTTTTGAGAAATGCGAGGTATTCGTCCTTGCAAATGTCGCGAGTGAGGAGGGTACAGTAATGAAAGAACCTGATTGAGGAGCTGTCGCCGGTCGGGGTCACTACTTATTTTTCACCACTTCGCCGTTGACAACTACACTGAGGAAAAGAATGCAAAGATTAAGAAACCTCCTTTTCCTTGCTTGCTTCGGCCATTTTGTTATCGTATTGCTGTAGCAGTGACGCTTGTAGTTATAAACCATAATTATACACACACGTTATTTTTATAGGTATATAATATGTATTTTCATAAAAAAGTTATGAAGAACATGGGCTAAGTAATTTTAAAATCCGCAGCACTTTCATAGACAAAATAAAACCACGAATACACTTGAGTGTTGAATGGATAATATGTTCTGCAAACCTGCATTACCACATGACGTTGTTGTATCGCAAACAAGATCGCGGGAACAGCACTAGTGTTAAATAAGAACATGTCTTGTTATAATAAATTTATGTAGAACAGTAACTACGTGTAAAGTTATAAGTTAGTGTCGGGCAATTTGTTAGGCTAATGGAACCGCAGAGAAAGATTGTGGTCACAGAGGTCGGAATCCATTTCGTAGCGGACACTGAAATAATGACCTTGTGTATCAAAACTATGTAACTATAGAGGACCAGGCTTTAATGATGACCAGGGTTCATTTATGGCTGAAATAAATAGCCATGATCTTGAGCCAAAATCTTAGATTCAAGAATCAAGATCAACCCAGAGATATTATTATTAGATTAAACTGTCAAACACCAAGCGGTCACCGGTGACCGCGGTCACCGGTGACGGCACTCAACGAGTTAATTAATAATTTGGGCCCAAAAAACAATTAATTGAACCCGTCGTGTGTCTAAACGTGGATCCACGCGAGACACAATATACTTTCTATAGTGTCTCATATACAGACAACCAAGCGGTTAAGAAAAAAAAAATCAACTAGTCTTCGATCGTGATTTTTAATGTGTTGATAGCTTCTTTGTCAACATAAGCAATCGTTTATTATTTTTCCTTAAAACTAATAATGCAATATAAATTGATGTAATATATCTGTTTCTTTTTGTTACGTTATATATTTTTTGGTAACAATGACATGAAATGTGTCCATAAAACTCAATTACCTGTAGCCTAATTCACGTAAAATCAAACAGTTGAAGTTTTATAGTCGCTCGACCATAGATCGATCGACTATAAAACTCGATCAAAGTCCTATCCGAAATCGGTATTCACATATTCTATAATCGGAGTTGGATAGGACGACAATTAAACTGAATCGAAACTAAACGACAACTAAACGATTCATCAACGTTTCATTGACATTTAACTCGTCGAGTACCGGTTTTATAGACACAATTAAAGAACAATAGGTGGCGGTCACCGGTGACCGCTTGGTGTTTGACAGTTTAAACAATTATGTATTATACCAGAATATTAAAATACAGATTTAAGTTTAAAAAAATCTGATTTACGCCATAACAATAAAATAAATGGAATTAAAACAATATTAATATACATTTAATGTAAATTGTTGAGTAAAATAATATAATTTCACCACTAAACCACGGTATAACGAGATGTCAATCATGGCGTCCAATTCGTCAAACATCGGGTGCTCTCGGCAATCCTCGGTTTACCCTCGCCCGTGCGGCGCTCGACAACCGACTCAGACCCGTATACCCCCAAGCGGTCACCGGTGACCGCTCTCCATTAACTACATTATAGACCTTGTTTCCAATGCTTAGAGACTACTTTTGTATGAACAAATTTAGGGGATGATTTCAAAAATTTTCAAATGGTAATATAGAAATAAAGGTGAAGTAGGTAGGTACCTACTTAATATTTTGTAATTTGTAAATCTTTTGATTCGGTGGTTCAGTGCACGAGCGCACTTAAAGTACAGCCGCCACTGTTCGTAAGTAAGGCCAGGGATGCAGGAGGCTAAAAACAAAATTAGATTCTATGCAAATAAATGTAACGAGATAAAATTTAAATGTAAGAAGCACAAAAGTTGACACAATCCTTTTTTATCACTGATAAACCATATTTTTTCTGTTTAGATTAATAATTGAGTTTCAATGAAGTCAAAAGAAACGTACTTTTGTTCAGCGACACTTCAACGACATTTCAACTATTAGATTTGACGTTTAGTTGTTGACAGCCGACCCGTTCCAACATCATTTGTTTACGGGAATACCTCCGTATCAACGATTGAAAGACGATTAAAACAGCTGAATATGCTTCAACGACACTTCGATCGAACGACTTCAAAATCGGTGTCGATCGAACTCGACAGATGTATGTGAATACGAAAAGGACTTAAACGATTAAGTCGCTACGATATCGCTACGGTTTTTATTACGTGAATCGGGCTACTGATCTAAAAGCTACATATATAGCTTTTTCATGTTAAGGGAAAACAATTGAATCTTCAGTCGACTTGTCGACGTTTGAGTATTTTTAGGAAACGGTTACCGATAGTGATACTTGATTGAACAACAGCTTTTGTTTATTATCAATAAGTCGAACAATTTAGTTTGTTGTATCTTACCTACTATTGCTCTTTCGGGTTCTTTACATAGTAATATGAATCATTTAAATTCATTTGTAAACAATAACATGCCACGTGATGTAACTAGATTGTAAATAAACTAGGCCACTAATCTCAAACAGTTGTCATTAGATCGAGGTCATTGTATGTAGCTTTACGTAATGGGCACATTGTACGAGGACTATTTTTTGTCTCACTTGACAATCATAATAAATAATCCCATAAGGTTATGACGTAACATGTGGGGAAAACAAGTCGTTAAGTGGCTGAAGATATATTTGATAGTACTTTCAGACGCCAAACGAAAAATGGAACATATTTTTTATTACAACATTTATTTAATTTCAACAAAATACATAACTCTTTGGTAAATATTTCTCTACTTTTTAATAAATTCAATTGTTGTTTTTAAGAACTTGAATAAGTACTCGAACAATTTCATCTAAAGTGTGTTAGCTCAAGGTATTAACTTTCGCTTAGTTTTAAATAAATAAATACATTACAATTACGAAAACCATAACTGACTAGCAACAAAGGTAAGTATTCCATCGACTAGGCAGATCTACTCGCTATTTAAATTTAATTTATAAATGCGTTTACATTAATATTAATTTAGCTATAAGATCGTCGTTTGGCGAAGGCGACACTGAGACTGCGAGAAGAATGTCTAGAGCTATGTGAGTGTTGTGTACGACGGGTGTCAGTAGACTTTATTGAGTGTAGAGAGCGTATATCATCTTTGCCTTCAGCCTTCGCAAGCGCCTCAAAACTTCCGTCCACAGGAGATTTCTGTGGTCTCTTCACTGGTTTTATACTACCACTAAACTTAAGAGCGAACTTCAATTCTTCCACCAACTCGTATTTGAAGGTCGTCTGAAATTGAAAAAGAATATAGTTCATCGTTTGTTAGGCTGGAATGAGTTAATTTTGTTATTAGATATTAAACACTTAAGTTGTAGCGATGAATTGACGTTTGACGACTTTCATCTATTTCTTATCCCAGTTCTTGTTTTTTATTGAGACAAAACCGCCGTAACCTCCCAAACATCGCATCACAACTCCTGTAACCCAGGACCTATAGAAGATACAACCATGAAAATACCGGAGCACTGAAGTCTGGCGCATCCCAGGTATATGAATATCTGTTTTGGGTCCCGCAAAAAAATGAATCGGAAAATATTATAAGAGAAGATAACAAAAACGTTTCTACTTATTATATACTTATTGTTTAGACTACAATACATCCAAATATTATCAAATATTATGTATACGTATACAACATCATAAACTTAAAATTCAGTTAATTGAAACCCTCTATAACCTCGTTATTTTAAAATGCAATTTTGGGGGATTTGAATACCTAAATAAACACCTTCTTTACCCACTTTTAAACAACTGCCAGTACCTACGTTTTTTCATTTGTTTCACCTCTAGCAATTACAGTTTCCTACTCACACTATTATGGCAACGTGAGTCAGCAATTTAATAGAACACGACAATTAGCACAGTGCACAACCATCAAGTTAGTGCTTGGGAGCTTGGGTGCTTAGGGTTGTTATAGACACTTCAGTTTAATCAAGCGATGTAGCTAACACTTGTGCGCTAATAATGTGCTCGACACGAAACGTCTTTGAATTGTCGTAACATGGTAAGTTTTTTCTAAAATCTTGTATCAGTTAAAAGATAAATCAGTTTTTTTTTGAAAAAAAAATGTCAGTAGAAATACAGAGCCTGGAATTGTGCCTGGTAGATGGCAATAGGTTTACCCCCTATTATATGGGACTCATAACATAATTAGTGAAAAGTGGGTACATTGTAAAGTTACATTAAGTGCCGTAATGTGCACTTCTGCCTACCCCTTCAAGGATAAAAAGCGTGATGTAATCTTATGTTATATGATAAATAAGTTTTTCTACATGTATATATTATTTTAATAAATTATCTCAAAAATTGCTATGATAATTTAGATTTTTTTAAATATGTGCTCCAGACTCTGGCCATTTTAAGCCTGACCTCGATTTCCTAAGCCAATGTCCGTTTGAAAATGTTACCAGTGAATATGTTGCTGAATTTGACCTAATATTTTCTTAGTAATGTAAAAATATAATATTTCACTTATATTAAATTGACGTTTAATTTTTCATTAAAACAACCATATCGGTGTTTACTTTTGAGGTTAACTGTTAATAACATTAATTAAATTATGTTAATTTGGTATTACTCAATAAGTACATAAAAAAATTATTCAAAGTTCAAAAAATGTCTTTGTAGAATTATTTAAACTAAATTATTTAACTTTCACTTGCTGCGATATCTATATCTAGAAATTTTCCAATTCATTATTTGAACCAAAACGAGGTTCCTCTCATTGTCTTACCTAGATCTGTTTAAATAGTAGGTACCCAGTATCCCAGTAACATGTTACATTAACGAAGGTGTGCAAGTAGGTCGCTTCTTTTCACTAAGCACCTTTTTACGTAGGATATAAACTTGAATAGCCACTTTTATTTTCGCTACGAACAGCAAAAAGTTCAATTTACATTTTATTTCTGTTACAGTTACGTTTTTGATAATATTGGCTTTACCATATAACTTAATAATTAAAACTGTAGTAAATGATCAATACGGGAAGTGTGCCTCAGGCCCTTCACTTGCAAGTGTCGCTTGGAAAGCACGCGTTTAAACCATGTAGTTTAGTTTGTAGTAAAGATTTACGAGTATATCTACATTTATCACAATATTTAGGACTAACTTCTGCTAGCAGCTTCCCCCGCGTTCCCAGGGGTAAAGGTAGCCTACGTGTTACGTGTTAGACCATAATCTACCTCTGTTCCAAATTTTATCACCGTAATTGTATAACCCTTCAGCCGTTTTGATGTGATTGAGTAACAAACTTACACATAAACTCACATATTTAGAAATTTATATTATCTTAATTTATCAGAAATCAAACAAAAATAAAATTATACCACGGTGAGGTGCGATAGTCAATGCTGTTATTGCTATTAATGGTATGAACATGATAAATCCTCTTATCATTAAACATCATAATTTGGCGAGTTTAGAATTACACGGCCCACACCGTATCAACACCAATTAACCCACATATAAAAAATAATTGATTGTCTAAAAAAAGATTTCGATACTCACGCTATATTTAACAGATCTCTTGAACACACCCCATAGCATGTCTATGATGGATATGAAGAGTCCTATAAGGCAGCCCACACCGAGCACAACGAAAGCTCCCAACATGTTCTTCATACCCAACTGTTTCTGTTCCTCGTCTCGTTTCTCCTGTAAACCATTTCATCAAGTCACCAATGCAAATTATTTTATTAATATAATTGACAAGATTGCCATGAAATGCGTCCTAGTTATGATTTCCAAATCGGCCAATGGACGATTTTTCAAGTCTTTCGAAAATTCTCGTAGTAGCACGGAATCCGTTCACCCACATGGAACTCATTAGTTTATAACGTAACAGGTTTAATACATGTTAAATTGAATATGTGTACCTCTACTTAACCTTTACCTGCAGGTGAACAAAAATTAATTCGTAACATTTAAAAGTTCCTCTCGTATTTACCAGTCACAAATCACTTACAACAACGTTAGTCCCGATTTAGTATTTTAGGACAACTAAAGTGTTCCACTTACCCCACATTTTCCTCCGCCTCGTTTTTCCTTCCACCAAATATTCCTTAGTTTTTCTATTTCACCGTTCTCCTTTAGGTGAAGCAAGGCGTCATCGATATATTTTTTGAATGGTGACTCTACAACATTAAAACACGCTTTAATTTCAACCTTAATGGTGTAGATTCAAAATAAAAATTCAATTGCTTACTCTTCTTCATTCCAATGCCATAACTCTTAGAGTCAAGCAGCCCACCAACTTGCAGCAAATCGCAATGCCTTTCTTTCCAATATTCTAGGGATGTCGATTCCATAAAAAATGCGTACTGTGTAGTCTCAGCCCTGCGTAAAACAACATTGTTTTGAAGACAAAAATGTTTCATTACACTTTCCCTAAACAAAGCAATGAGAAAGGAAAAATAACTTACATTTTCACTCCTATGTCGTTCTGTTCGACAAGCCAATTGTGTGCGACCATTTTCTTGTACATGGCTTGGTAAACTGGGCTGGTCGAATCCTAAAACAGATTAAAACATTTCTACTTTAACTTTCTCATACACATAATATCGTAATTACTTATTGAGATGAAATTATCAACTTACCTCAAAGAACTGCTTCGTGGATCCCTTCTTCTTGGCTCCGTAAGAAATAGATTTACTATTGTATAATTCTTCAACCGTATTGAAAGGCAGTACATTTTTCTCAACGGTAAGGAACGCAACCAATGTACCGACGTATGAGGCTACCATTACCATAGTGAAGAACCACCACACACTAGTGATCATACGTGGAGCTAACGCTCTGGAAATCAGGAATTAGTTTTTACATTTGCTTTAAATGGAAAGTGCTCATCAAACAATTTATGGGTTCGTAGTAACAGAAAATGTTATAAAATACCACTGACGAAAGTGTAGATACTTTTAGATTTTTTTTATATAGGTATATACATATATTTGGTGGGCCAACGTTTGACCACTATCTCGCCTGGTGGTAAGCGATGATGCGGTCTAAGATGGAGCATGTTTAAACTGACATTTCAAAGGTTTCGAAAATTCTCATCCCTCAAAAGTGTAACTGGGCACTGCTCCACAGTCTACATAGTTTAATCTTAAATGCAATACCTGATTTTCACTAGTACAAGTTGTGAAACTCGTACGTGGGTACATACTTATTTATTTAAAAGGTACTATATGCAAAATAATTCATAGTACTTATATGCAAAAAATATATAAATAAATGAGTACTTACATGGGAGCAATTTCAGAACCTTGCTGCATGACAGAACCAATGATGAGCCAAACAGAGTTAGCGAAACTGAACTGATTGCTCAGCTCTTCTGGTGACTCTATGCAGGGCACCGGGTTCTGCCACTCCTTATGCGAGATACGACCGACGAAGATCATCGTCACACCCAGAGCCAACTGGATGAGCATCATGTAATACCAGACCTGAGAACATTAAGGAATAAATATTTTCTATAGAAAAAAAAAACGGTAACAGGAAATATCGTGAGGAAACTTGAGTTTATTACATCAAATTATAAGTATGAAATTGCTAACTCGCATTGAGCAAGCGTGGTGATTAATGTTCATACCTTCTCTATGCGAGAAGATGCCTTTGGTCAGCAGTGACCACTTATAGGCTGTTGGTGTAATAGAAAGATAAATTTTAAATAAAATTTGTAGGAAATTCGTCATATTGAACAGTTAAAACATTTGACAATATATTGACGCTCAATCAACAGAGGAAAATCCACGGAAAGGAAAACTTTAATTAGTGGATTATCTGTAATACGTCTACTTAGGGTTAGTTACGTTGTTAGTCACACTTAGGGCCTGTTTCACAAAGTTGAGCTAACCGAACATGTTTTGACCCTTTCTGCAAGGTAAATTTTTCGTCAGTTTTAGACTAATAAAAACTTAATATGACCATTGTAAAGCACTGTGAAACTATGACACTTCCTAATATGGTTAAACTTTCAGACATTTACAAAAAAAAATTGTTAAAAAAAATACCTAGACCATACAACATAACATAACATAACATCACGCTTTTTTCCCCCGAAGGGGAAGGCAGAGGTGCACATTACGGCTCTTAATGCCACTGTACAATGTAACACCCACATTTCACAATTTATGTTATGAGTCCAATGTAATAGGGGATGAGCGTATTGCCGTATACCGGGCACATGTCTAGACTCTATGCTACTACCGATATTTAAAAAAACCAGTAATACTTTGCCCGACCCAGGAATCGAACCCGAGACCCCTTGTCCGGCAGTCGCACTTGCGACCACTCGGCCAACGAGGCAGTCACCGATACCATATACTCATATATTCGAGCAACTAAAACAATATTAAGGAAGGCCTTCCTATGTATGTACTCCACTAACCGACAAGGAAATGTTAAACCTTAAAAATTTAAAATAAAACATGTGAAATACCTCTTTGGAGAAGACAGCCATGAAGGAGAACATCTCAGGTGGTTGTTTACTGGGCTCCTTGTACAGAATACCGATACCAAGCGTCATGAACGGGGTCGAGAAATCGATACCACTTTGTCTCACCGCTGTTATTGTTAAATCACAAATGGCAAGGTCGGCTTTCTATAACATGTGGAGAAATAAAGTTAATTTAGACTAATGGGTTCTGAGGTTTATAAGTGAAGTGTAGATGCTCTTAATCTAATGTAATGTAAAACTAATATCGGTGTTGCCTACAAGTCTGATACTATAATAACTGTTATAATATGATCAATTTGGGAAGTGAACCCCAGACCCTCAGCTTGCAAGTGTCTTTTGCAAAGCACCCGGGCAAATGAGGTTGACAGAGGGTAAAGATTTTCGTTTATTTATACATATATCAGATATGAACAACTTACTTTATAAATAAATAAATAACTAAATTATTACTTACGTCTTCTCTAAGTTGTAAAGCCATTCCAGTCCATTCACCAGTTTCAGTTTTACTACCATAATCCTGTTCTACTTCAAATTCGTAACTGAATCCTAAGATTTCACTTAATTTTTCAATTAAATCTATAGTAAAGCCTTCGTAACGATCGTTGCCTTCTAATGTTTCATGAGACAATTTTAAATAGCCGTATGGAGGAGCCTAAAACCAAAATATCAACAAAATATAAGGGTAAATAAAATAAATATCAACAAAATTAAACTGTTCATAAAGAAGAACCCCTCTGTGGTCCGAAACTAGTAGAGCTTTTCTCAGTATATTCACGTGATTAACTCGCTATTTTAGTTTATTTAATATGTCTCACGATAGTTATTATAAAACATATAAGGTACCTACGACAAACGCCTGATGCTTTCTGATTTGTACGTAATTAAAATAACTGTGTCAATTATGGTATGTGTATCAGTGATAACACAAGTTACGCAATACGTATCTACCATGTGACAGTAGAGTAGAATACATTTGTACAGCCGAAGGAACTACATATTTGTAATTCACCCGCTTGTCAAACGTACAGATTATGGCAATATCTGATACCAATACTACATACAATATACCAACCTATAAGGTATGTTATTGGTAGAAATAGCAATACTTATTTATCTGTAAAGTTAGATATAAAAAATATACTAGGATCCAAAATACAGATGGCGTTCCAAACAGTTTGATATAAAATTTGACGTGTGCCAACTCTTTTCCTCTATAGTATACCTACATATAATAGTATTTTAAATATCACAAACTATGTAGAGGTGGCCTATGGTTCAATGAAGAACGATAATAAATAATTATGTAGGTACTATAAGACAATTTTCATATTAAAGTTTTAAACAAAATAGAAACTTGAACTTACTATCGCAATTAGAACTTTCAAAGTTTTGTTTCTAAGTGCTGCCTCCTGGGTAATTTCTGCATCAGCCACGATTGGCCTGTCTATTTTCAATTTATTATTCGTCCACATCCCAATCTGGAACAAAAACAAATATGTCTGCTATAGTAACTACTTTTTAAGACTAGCACAGTTGTAACTATTACTTACTGTCTGATTCCCAGCAGAAGTTAGCTCCAACAAATCAAAAGTGACATCTGTTCTTTGCCCCAAACCATCAAATATTAAAGATCTTGTTAATCCATCTACCTTGTTCTGTAACGAGGCAAACTCAATTTATTTACAAGTTAATGGAAACAGAAGTGAAATATTAAGCGTCGTGTCTAATACAACTACCGTTTTCATGAAATTTAGGAGACTTGATCCATAATTCCACGCTTTGTAGCTGTCACAGCTTAAGAACTCTGCCTTTACGTCTTTTAATTTCTTCATCGCCGCAGATATAACTTCCACAGCATCATGTATTAGAAGTAATTTTGTTTTAAATTGATCTGGCTCCAGCTCCTTCCCTGTTTCCTGGTTAAACGTCGTTGTAAAGTTCCAAAGTTTCTCATTGTCTTTATTTTGTAGTGCTACTAGACGGAAACCTGAAAGAAACTCTTGAATAATATATTGGATAATAGTGCTCTTTGCAACAGGGAGTGAAGAATTAATCCCGTTGTTCTGTAAGACAATGTACTACTATGTTTGTGTGTAAGACATTCTGGACAAGAAACTACAAACATCCGTTCATTAATTAATAAAATATTGTGTAATACTACTCACCTGTCATATTAACTCCGCCATACCTATATCGATCCATGTCCAAAGTAAATATATCAGGTGAGAGGAATATGTACGAATGTTCCTCAGCCATCATGCCCACTTGCTGAGCGTGAAGCAACACTTGTTCCAAGTTCCGAGAAGGACAGTCAACCACAAAGTTCGTATAACCGTTGCGTTTGGCGTCGATTAGTACTTCCCTTAAAAATAAAAAAGTAAATGCATATGATAATTACGACTGTACCAATCTTATTTTAAATAAATAATTAGGTTAATCCATCGACAATACCAGTTTACTCACTATAAGTATTGGACCCATAATGAGTAAAAAAGTTAAAATTGGATGACGCTCATGTGGGCCGTTAATGTACCTATTTAGCTCCTATTTAAGATTCAACGATTAATTTATTTATATTTAAGTGACAAATATATATTTTCAGAAAGTAAGTACCTCATACGTCATCTGAGCATTGAATGAAGATTAAAGTTTAATTAAAAAGTATACTTTATCTTCAATTTGCCTAATTGATAGAAAAAGGCAACTTATTTTCATTCAAAGGTTTCATCAACTGTACATCAGGATGAATACACCTTTTAGAATTTCTTTAAGTTTTTAGCAGGTGGGAGTTTAAAACGAAACGCGACGCGACGCCTATTTGTGAAAAATACACGTTCAAAGCACAACCTCAGAACTCAGTTTGCAAAATGACGCCCACAGATGAAGACTACAAAGAGATTTATTCTTTCAAATCAAACGATGTCTAGCCGAGACTGTGTATTCCTATAAAATTGTATCAATGCATTTGGATATGAATGTAAGAGCATTATTTCGGTACGTGTGTACCTACGCACATAAGTACTTTATGAAATATACCTATTTGAAACGTATATGTATCTCATGCTGCCTTGAACAATATATCCCTAGTATCATCATGGTCGACAAAAATATTAATTGTAGGTATCTGAGAACATTCTGTTATATGTGTAGGTCTATTAGGTATTGAACAATCTAAGCTCCAGGACCATGATCTCATAATTATTTATCTATACGTACTAATCTATAAGTAAATTCATCTGATTCACAGTAGACTTACCGGTAATTATCACCGCTAAGTTCTCTCAAAGTGACCACATACGGATAGGAATCGTTGCCCATCTTCAGCAAGTCACCCAGGCGCAGCAAACTGTGCCCTTTCACGTATAATAACGTGAAGTTCCGCCAATCCTTATGGATAATTAGATTTTCTAGTACCTGAAACATCAATCACATTATTTTCTTATTTTAGAAATATGTATGTAATTGTTACTAAGATTATTTAGCCATATCGTAAAGACTGTAGGCGTCAGATGGATAGTGTGTAGTGGGCGTTCGTTTATTTGTACCCTAGGTTGTTATCTAAGGAAACAGAGGTTTACCAGTTATTTCTGACTGAAGAAAAACCAATAAATGCATTACACGGGACTAGTAACGAGCAGACTAAACGATATTTACTTTATGTTATCTTCGACATTTTTAGATGGCAAAAATACCAAGTTCTTTAAAGATACCCTTTCAACAGTTCTGTAGGGTCACAAAGTCACTTCCTTGTGATAAAATGGTAATGTAATATAAGGCGAAAATAAAAGTAACACCCGGAATATAACTTGATGTGAAATGTTTCATAAAGAGCCTATCACGAATGTTGTGTGTCGTAGTGAAACGTTTTTACATTGGATTTCATCAAGTTTGAGCGCTCAACCTGCGAAGATGGCCGCTTAGCTGCACTCTTTAAATGAAAGATATTATGTTAAAAATGTGTTTGTTAGAAAATAGTCTATACTCTCATTTTAAGTAGGTATTAATCATTTAAACCTTAAATTTTTGGAAACATTATTATATTGAGGTTACAGCAATGTAACAGATCAAAACTTTTTCATTTCGACTACAGTCAAACCATCTATTCTTTAAAAAAATAAAAATCATTCATCGATTATTTTCGCAGCTTATTACAACAAACACATTTTGAGGTAAGTACGGATAAAAATAATCTTTTCAACAATCACAATCTTAAAAGAACTGACTAGCAAGCGTTAAAGTAAAACAGCTGTTAGCCATTATTTGCGTAACATGTGAGGATATAACGAAATTCATTACTATTGAAGTGCTACAATAAGGAGGATACGCTGCTATATGAATTTATTGTAATTAAAATTGTTTTAATTATCATTATGTAATGATGGTAAAGAAAATAATGTTATTTTCACGGTGTTTTACCTAGCTTTATATTTTTTTCAAATTATTCCGGGTTTTCTTATGGAATATGTCTCACATTCTATTTAATTTCGAAACGTCATATTACGGCTTAGGTATATCTTATTTCTTATTTTTATAATTCGTCCACTAGTCCAAGGTTCCAAGAATAACAACGGGGAGAAAAATAATTTCATGTTCTTTACTAAGTATAATTTCAAAAATCAACATAACATCACAAAAGTCGAGTAAAAAGTATTTACTAAACAACACATTTATGTAAAATACTGGAAACATTTTACATCAAAATAATTCAAAAGCCATTAGGTACGTAAAAATAAAAATAAAGAAAAAATAGCTAATAGCATCCTACGATATTTTCAGCTGGAGTGGCCAGTTATATATTTTTTATTAGAATTAAAAACTTTTTGGTGTCTTTTATCAACAACATAAAATACTGGCAATTTTACCTAAAAAAGTCACAAATGTCATTTAATACAAAAAGAAAAAAAATTAGATAATGGCATCTTGTCATTTTGATAATTTTAAAGGCCAGTTTTTAATTAGGTATGTAATTTAATAAAACCTTTTTATTTTGTAATAGCAGTTAAAAAAATTCAATATGTATGCCCAAATTAAAAAATAATGATAATTGCTAGTGGCATTTTGTCATTCTGTTTTTTGATGGGCAGTTATTTACGGTAAATTGCTTAATTTGATTTTATTGTAACCATATACCTAATTTATCAACTGGAACTTTATCGATTAAAGCTACGTTAAGGACATTATAATGATGTCATTGAAAAAAGTAGAAATATTTCAAACTTTTCACCATATTAAAAGCAGTTGGACTGGGATGCATGTTCAACACGGACCAGTTTTCACTATAAAGGTCATTGTGTTGTATGCTGACATGAGGTAATTCCAACATGTCACATATTGCTTGAATGTTCTCACTGGCTCGTCCTCCAGTTCCATCTATAATACCGATCACACCTTCCTGGAAGAAAGAAAGAGGTCTAATTACATTTATGTAAATAATAATTTTACACGTCGCCGAAGTATTTTCGAGTAAAAGCGAATGGAAATGTTTTTCTCTAACAAAACTAATTATATGATGGTAAATTACAAAATAATTTAGCTATAGATCTACAAGATATTCGGTTATTCAATCTGTTTGGATACAAAATGTAAGAAAATTAATAAAAGATTCCTATATAATAAGTTATGAAAATAGAAAATCTAATAAGTCCGCAGTTAAGTAGGTAATGAAAAATATTAGACACGTAATTTTTTATCTTGTTTTATAACAAAACAATACTTGGATAAAACAAAACAAAGTTTGAGAGTGGGAGGTAGCTACGTCATTTTTGAGTATTTAAACCGTACCTACACAAAAGTAACGTAACATGATAATTCAAATCAATTTATCATCGAAAGTAGGTATTTGTTTCCGTAAAAAATAGTGTCTCATATTTTTAAATAATCTACTAGACGGACATTAAATTAATCAAAATTACATTCTATCTTATTAAATTATAAGAGACATTGTGATTGATGTCTTCGACTTTGCATAATTATTTAAAACGAACCAATCAGCTTAGAGGAAAAAGCTAAGAAACTTTTTCCACGGCCCGATTATTTTTGCGAAAGAATAACATGATCTTAGCCCTAGGGGTATAGCCGTAATCTTATTCTTTTAAATTTCATCCCTAGAGAAAACAAAAGGAAATTAAAATATTTTCTTGCCAAATTATGAAACTTCTTGAAGTTGCTAAAGTAAAGGTTCCAATTGTTTTTGCCATTATAGGAATTTGTATAAATACATTATTTTTGGCTATTTATGTCACTTAATAAATGATTTCAGGTTTTAAAGAAAAATAAAAAAAAGGATTTCTAATAAAGCGATCGACTCGTGGTCAAAAACTCAGCACTGTTTACATTACCACTAGATTTTTTCTATACATAGGTAGATGTTCCATAATAGAATAAGTTACCAACTGTATTCAAACAAAATATCTTAACTAAATCCGAACTTTCTTACATTATTTTTATCTAAAAGGTAAAATTCAATTTGAATCTAAAATGAAACAAAGAAACTTTGACATTTTCTAGCCAAAATTATCCCGAACTATGTAAAATAGGTGGGCAACGAAAAACGAAAAGAACAATTGAATAAAAAGTCGTAAAAAAGTTGCGTTTTACTGTCGCATCGATGAACTGAGACTAAGACGATAGCAGATAGAAGTCAAGACAATTTAAAAATGTAGGTACATTATATCAATCGCAGGATCACATTAATTTCCACACGATTTCATTCAAATTCAAATTGAATAGGCAAATGGCATAATCTTAATGAATTATAATGGCCCATTAATTCGGCTTCGTTATTGACACATTTTTATTTGATTTACTGAAGCTAATTTACAATTACCGACGCTCTCATTAGCTACATGTACTCCTAACTTAACTGACCAAAAAATAAGTGTTTAATTAGATAGTCTATGCTTTCGGTAATTAAATGAAAAATTAAGCGCTCCTTGTTCACTTACGGCCTTAATTTATAACCGATCTTAACATAGATCTGTAGACCTACTGATTTTTGACAAAAACTTCATATAACCAATGTCTAAAATACAGATTAACTCTATTTATACTATTACGCTTTTCTTTCCAAGCTACAAGCTTTAATCTAAACTCGCCAAACTTCAACGTTTGATGGCGAGAGTCGCTTATAATAACAATACTGTCTTAAAATTTGACTGCCTCGTCAGGCGAATGGTCGCAAGTGCGACTGCTGTGCAAGGGGTTTCGAGTTCGATTCCCGGGTTGGGCAAAGTATAAATGGTTTTTTTTTAAACTCAGTAGGTAGTAGAATCGGAATCTGGAATTGTGACCGGTATATGGCAATAAGCTTATCACCTATTACATGGGACTCATAACATACCTACATGGTGAAAAGTCGGTGTTACATTATACAGTGGCATAAATCACCGTAATGTGCACCTCTGCCTACCGCTTCGGGGATAAAAGGCGTGATGTTATGTATGTAATACGTAATGACTTAAATTTTCTTACCTCAGCTAGTTCGCACACATACTTGCTTACTTCCAAAATTTCCCCTCTGACTGATACTTCTTTAATGGACGCTGTAAAGTTAAAGTTTTTAGCGCTAACTTCCAGCGCCACTTTCATATCATCTGAGTCTTTGTAAAATATACCTCCTGTAACATACAATATTGGGTAATTACTTAAATAGTCGTAATAAAGGCTCATATTCATGAGCAGCATTTCGCGACTCGCAACGCGGCGGCTGTCGCGCTGCTACTCGCAGCAGTAGCATGCTTAAAACTATCTCTATATAAGAATAAGAATAAGAATAAGAACGTTTATTTGCACGAAGTATGGTAATTACAGGTAGTAATAATTATAAAAAATAGTCCCACATACATCGCCTACTGTTTTCGGCATGCAAAGTTAAGTTTTACAATATAATAAAGTTAATTTCTTACATTCAATAAAACCAATTACAAAAATGCTTACAACTAGGATAACATAATTATTTCTCCTAACATATTATTATTACTTTTCTTCTTTATTCACATATTTATCATATTAGTGACTTACTAAATCACAACACACTTAATATTGCACACTTAGTATGTATTGCACACATTAAACTTTCATTGTAAGAAACTCATCTAAGGTGTAAAAGCAACTGTTTATTAGTAGTTTATTCAGTGTAATCTTAAATTTATTTAAAGGTAATTCTCTTATATGTTTAGGTATTTTGTTAAATATTTTAATTGATGTTATATATGAGTTTTTTTGGCATAGTGTGCTTCTACATCTTATTACAGCAAGTCGCGTTGGATCTCTGGATGAATTCTTCTTATGATCTATTACCTTATTATAAAGTTCGGGATGTTTCTTTACAACTATTGCTATTTCTAATATGTACAGTGAGGTTAATGTTAATAATCCTAATTTTTTAAATAATGGTCTACATGATTCCAGAGGTCCCACGCCACAAATAGCACGAACACATTTTTTTTGAGCAATAAACACTCTTTTTGCGAAGGAAGAGTTACCCCAGATAATTAATCCGTATCTTATGATAGACCCTATATAACCATGATACGCAGCCAGTGTTGTTTTAGTGCAAGAGACTTTTTTCAATTTTTTGAGTGCATACACAAACTTATTTATTTTATGGCACAGCATGTCCGTGTGTGGCTTCCATTTACAATTCCTGTCTAGCATAATGCCCAGAAATTATAATATATAAATATATAAGCCTCTAGCATGGCTTGAAACTAGTCGAGTTCCTCGTCAAAATATTACGGGAGTAATCCGAAAACATAATAATTTATTTAGTATGTCTCACGAAAGTTACAATACAAATAAATGGTCTTTATCATGGTTGGTCTTATCATCCTTCGTTAACAATTGACTATATAGTTAGAGAGAAGCTCAGAAACTATGAACGATTCAATAATACGCAGTTAAATAATTTCAAAACTTTTTGTTTGGTAATTTGATATCAAAACCCAATATATAACTACTTAATTTCGATAACCCTGCTACAGACTTGAGAACCTCGTACATAAGAAATTGCGTTTCTGACCAAACAAACGAAATAGCAGTAATACCTAAATCACTTCAATTTTAATTCCATGGATATCAGTTCAATAGCTTATGTTGATACTAAACTAATTAGGTTATGTTATTTACCGAACATCGGCTACTAAATGTCACATGGTATAAAAAGTACATCGTGTGCTAACGTAAATACAATAACAATAGATGCGTAAATAGGTTCAAAACTAACCGATAATAGCCTTTTCCTTTGCACAAACACATTGTGACAGCACGGAGAGGAACAACACCAACACATACATGTTTGTTAAAATATGTCACAATCACATCATTTTAAAATAAACACCATCACCAAGTATCACAACACTGGCTACTGTATCTCATGGCGCACCAATTTTACTATCAATTAAACTAAACGAGTTTACGTCTTAAAGTTGTAATCGCTTGAAACTTTACAGTTAATCAGTGTTTTAAAACATTGCCGTAATAAACGTTGAAAGTTTGGGCGGTGTGTCGGTAATGTGTTTAGATTGGTATTGGACGGGCGCACGGCGCGCGCGACACGATGCTTCAGAAATAATCCCGCGCCTATATTTAGGACGGGTTTTCCACAAAACGACATACTTTATCTCGATGCCCGTCTGTCTCAGTCTGGAGGGAGCGACGACATCCCAAACCAATTTACGGATAAAAACTATTGCTGTTTTTCAGCTTTCTTTAACTTTGCCAATCTAATACCTAGTATAAAGTTTAAAGATTATTCTAATAATAAAAAGTAATATTATGTTTTTGTGAAATCTGTTGGTCGATGAACATTATGTGAACTAATTTGTCTAGAATAAGTTTGTGTTGCTGTAGGTGTGTCCAAAGCTGATTGATCCAGAATACCAAGTTAGATCTATTTCCCTGATTATCAATTGTCTTTCGGATTAATTTAACGACAATGTTGACATTAAAGTAATTATTCTGATGGCAGCTATGCCACGACTATGTGATAAGTGACATGATAAAAATAGCCAATCAGTTTAATAGCCCACAGCAATATTGTCCCACACCGCATTTCAGATTGAGAGCTGTTTGGAAAAGCGGTCTAAAGGAATTTATAAACTATATCGACTGCAAATAGAAAACATAAATGGTATTAAAAAGATTGCTAGGGTGTGGCGCTTGCAATTTGTGAAATCAAAGCAATAACATCAATAGAGCGCTCACAAACAAAATTAGAAATCGAATATTATAATAAAAAATAACAATATAATAGGTTTCAAGTTTTTCCATGTCGATACTTTGAGAAAAACCATAATATTATTATGATTTTTTCCAGGGATGGCTAAAATTGTGAGGAAGAAAATCTTTACGAAGACGAAAATGTGCTATTAAGTAGATACGTTTGTAGAAGGAAAGTTTGAAATCAATACAAAACTTCGTAAAAATCAACAGAAACAAAAATATCACGTAAAAGAGTGAAAATATTTCAAAGAAAATTGTATCGTCAAATAACAAAGTTATCTTTAGCTACATAAACGTTTCATCGGAGTTCGGGCAGGTAAACTGTACGATACGTGTAAAAGGTGCACTTAGTAGAAACTAGGTCGATGTGAGTTCTATAAGGAAAAAACGTGGTACCAATGAACGGAATGATATTGTTCTGTATTTCGTGAACATTAGTATGCAAGAGATGTCCGACCATTGACTCGCCAACCAACGTGCCGTATGTTTGTACGTACTTTAGCAATACCAATTTGCTTTGATCGATACACAATTAATTTGCTGTTTAAACTGCCTTTGTTTATTGTACTATACCTAATTTTCAATTATAATAAGTAGGTTAAAATACATGTAGGTATACAGAATCTGTATTAATAATATATCTGATACCTGTGTCATTGTATACAACATAATGTAAAAGCTATATTAGATATAAAAATTCCACCTGTCAACTGATCAATCACCAAGCGATCACCGTTGACCACTCACCACTTACTCCATTATAGACCTTATTTCCGATCTTTAGAGACTAATTTTTAGTAAACAAATTTTGGGGATTTTAGATATATTTATTCTATAATGTTATTTGGCAATAAATATTAATTAGATATGTAATCCAAAATTCGTTAAGGTCAGAACTTAATTAAAATAACACCTTTAAAATGAACAAAATGCGTTAACAGAGTCGTAAAACCTTAATAATAGGTTTATTCACTCAGTCAGCTGATTTTGTAATGCGATATGGAAAGGCATTTTATTGGATTGGTCCTGAATAAACACGAAATGGAAATTTGCAATAGCACAACGATGAAGCTCTATAAAATGTTTTACGAGCATCATTGCGAAAGTTCAGTTTTGGATTGAGGCTGTTGCTCAAAATACTCTGAATATTGCAATAAACAATTGTAAATATGAACTCATTATAAACAGAATAGCGAGGGCTGACCAGCGAAAGCATACCAGATTGCAATTATTTCAACTTCGTCAATTATTCACTTCGTTTTTGCTTACACTTTGAATAAAATTTATTTTAATTTTCCTCTTCGTCTATGTTCATACAACTAGTTAATTAAATCAAAACAGCTATAAACTTAAATAATGTTTACATTAAACTTTTAATATTGTTTATTTCTTTTCATAAATTCAGCCACTTCGCCACACTTTGTGAAATAAACAAATTAAAATTCGCAAGCCGCGACCCAAACTCTCAATTTGATTGTGTAAGCAACTGTTTATTTATCTATTTTGTATGGGTACAGTTAAACGTCGATTTCTTGATTTAATATTAATAGTCGTCTTTATTTTTTAATTACTTTTATATCTAGCTTGTATTTTTAAGGAGAAACCGTTTTTCGGTGGTATAAACAACTTTTTTATCAAAATAAACCAAACAGAACTGCCAAATCAATAGTAATATAATTCAGAAATGTTATTGTTTATTTGTGGTGTCTAGGTACTATTGTTCAATAACATCATTACAGTACCTTTAGCTTATAGAAAGAAAGCCTTTGTTTGGTTACACGATGCTGACACTCAATTTATGAGAACATTGAGAGCAGACTTTCATACGAGAGGAATCTATTCCTACCTTTGACTTCGTAATTAATTCATTTCTGCAACAGACATCAATGAACTACTTACGGTATCCTAGTTCAGTAAGTAAATGAAATATTACCACTGTGAGTCAGACTTGACTTCGAATTAGGACCTACCTGCGCATAGAATTGCACTCCCTAGCGTGGTAAACATACCTATATGTTTGTTTTATTTTAGAAAACATTTTAGAAACTCCAACAAAGAGTCATTATTTTAATCGCATTCATCAGGCACCAATTTACACTCCTAGATACTATATGGCCGCTATGTGGAAAACATAGTTTCAATATTTTGTTTCAAATACAAAAACACTGAACATCACCCCTGAACGATTTACATTCATATGTATGTAGAAGGGGAATCAAGTACTAAACCCAACTCTAGTTGTCTCTAACGTGCAAGTGTGACATTTTCTTATTTCAGAATAAACATCAAAAGATCTCTTGTTTCGACCAAGTAGACAGTCATATTAAATTATTTCTTAATTGTCCACCTCGTGTTGCTCAAAAATAAACAAACACAATGTTCTTATTTTTCTCCTACAACTAAAGTATTGTCGTTAAAACAGCTGAAAATAGAGCAACGGAAGTCATTGAGTGAAATTATGTTGTCCGTTCTTATGGATAGTGTGACCGTAAGCAATTCTAATAGTAAGTGGATTTAAAACGCGCGGCCAAGCTCGCGTGCTTGAATCACTCACTACCTACTGCCCTCTGTAGACCACTCAACCATCGGAACTATTAATTAAACTTACGTTATTGTAGTGTCTGTGGCTCTTGGTGCAACGTTGTGATGCATTTTTACACCCACAATGTATGTATTTTGAGTTGATGTGGCATTTAATTCATTAACCTGTAAAGTGTCGGAACGTAGATCTATGCGAGACACAATATGTTTTCTATTGTGTCTCATATATCAACAGACAAGTGGTTAAATCATAGCCGCGGAAGACTTAACGGGTTGCCGTTTTTTAGTCAGTAAGAGTCTGACACTCCCTCTCGCCTCACCCGGGCGGGAGAAGTCATTGGATGATCGTCCCCTCTCCAAAAAAGAGGTTAAATCACAATTGATTTAGTTAGTCTCTATTTCAATGTTTTTTTCTGAAATTAACAGTAATTGATACGCGAGTTCCAAACGAATTGAGTGAGTGGGTGTAATTTTATGACAGACAAAACAACACACGTCGATTTTATAACACCAACTCTTTATTGTTTCAGCCTCTTCAACGACAGAGTGCTCAAAAAATGTGGTAATAAATTCATTTTTAATATCACAGATGTTGTTTTATTGGTATTGTAAGAACCCGTGCAGTTGGCAGACATGCCATGAATATGAAGATGCGTGCAAGACGTGATTCGACGAAGGTATAAAGTTTACGAGGAGCTTGAAAACATCAATAGTGCATCATGAGGGATAATCCACTTTAGATGCTATACGATCATGCAAATCCTAGTCTACGATAGATAGAAATAAATTGGTCATAAATAAAGTCCTTTGACCTTCCACAGGTCCCACTGAGCATCAACAAATAAATCACGAAGCTATTTATGCAAATTTTTGTTTATTTCTTTATGTGTATGTCTTTAATAGACATCTTCATGGCAAAACATATCTATTGCGAAGTTTTATAGAAATTATTGAAGTTTTTACTTCCTTTCCTTCTTTGAAGGCTGTTCACTGATTTTCACACTCGTTTCAGTGTTTTTATCTTAGATTCTAGTAAATATCATAAAATATACCAATTACTACTTATAGTTTTAGTTAAAAAGTAAGAAGAGGTCGGTAAATGTAATAATCCCAATTCGTATTACATAAGTGCAGCGAAACAGCGAGCATAGAAACGAACGAATAAGGAGGGTGATATCACAATAGCATTTCAAAACTAATAGATTTCAGTCAATCACGAGCTTCATAGAAAACTAGTTTTTGTTCAATTAATTAAGGCTTTAAATTAAGGACTCAGAGTTCTTTATTCATTCGTATAACATTTATTTAATGCTAGTAAACAATATACTTCGAAAAATGTTAATATACGAGCATATTGGATTGAAAACAATAACTGTCATCGTTTGAAAACAGTTTCGATTAAACTTCAAAAGTTTTCAAAACTTACTTTCTATTTCAGCTTAAATTATAAGCATAGGATCAATGTCGTGGGTGCTTGATGAAAATATATTTCTATGTTGCGATAAATGAAAGTTGATTCGAATGTTTTCGA